TTTATCTGATGTACATATGTACTTATAGCTCACTTCCGGGGTAATATAGATGCACTAGTAACATAAGATGCCAGGTTTTCATATGTAAATTCCGTTTATATAAATTTTAAATTCTTTTTAGGTTTCGTTTACGTAATTTCCCCAGAAGTAGACATATGCAATAGCTAAAGTGTTTTACTGTATTTTCTATTTAAACGAAATCTCATCTTAAATTATTAACATACAATCACATATATACTTACATACATATGTACATATCGTCGATGTTTTTGCAAAACCGGCCATCGCCCAATTGCAAAACCGCCTATCTTACGGCACTCAAATTTTACAAGAGGGCGAAAAAACGGTTTATTCTTTGAAGACATTGCCTTGATAGGCGGTATTTCTCTAGCTTTTATTTTACAAATCTGTTATTTTAATAACGATTTAACGATTTTTATGCATAAATCTCGATGCCTGGAGTTCAGGGTTACCAAATCTCATTTTTGCCGCAACACCGATTTAGGCGGTTTTAAAACTGGTCGATAGGCGGTTTTGCTAAAACATTGACGATATGTATCTGTATGTACCTACATACATATATACTGTGTTTATATGGATGTATATATACATTATTACTAACCTAGGAATATCGCCGTCCGTTGCGGGGAAGAGCGGTCAAACTATGTACATTCTTGCAGTTTTCTTGCAGCCTTCCAAATTTTGACTTATAACTATAGGTATTCTATGCAAAGTACAACTAAGTTCTTTTCTTACTCCATAGTATAATCGTCGCAGACAGGGCTATACCTGTTGGTATAAATTACAGTAGCACGAGGGTTCGTTTGTGACAGCGGTGTCCTATTAAATTGATTGCGCTGCGGCGTTTGGCGGTGGCATTCATGCAAGCTATTTATTTCATTTAAACTTCTTTGTTTTGTTGCAGCATGAAAATTAGACAATGGATTGAACGTGGTAAAAAATTCATTCGTACTACTCATATCCGTTCCAGCGGTAAATGGCATGCCATTGTTGCTACAATCATTGACATCAATATCGTCATCGTCTTTCTTGCGCTTCAGTATAGCCGAATGCATTTCACGTGAGCAGCTCTGACCGCGCGATTGTGCTCGCTGCACCTGTAGTATGGGTTCATATTCATATAATTGTCTCATGTAAAAACGATCCAAATCAGCCTTTTTATAGTAGTCTTTTAGGCGCGCAAAAGCATTGCTAAATGTAAATAAAAGATATCATGGAATTATTACTTATAGGAACAGCAATTATGCTTTAAAAGACTCACCTAAAACTTATATTGTGTTTGTACATCAAATATGCCACTACAATTGTGAGGCACTTCTGCTCGCTCCCGTTACAATCAATCACTAAGATAGTACCACCTGCTTGTATAGCTTTATTTATGAATCTGACTGCGCGATAGCAATTCGGCAGCACTGTAGTCAAATACGACTTTTCGCCAAAATTCAAATCGATGGCCTCAAACTCTTTGCCAAATTTGAGTGAAGTACATGCCGGATGACTAATATACTCATAAGAGTCAAATGCATCAACAGCAGTATTTTCGGTTGAGAGTTTAAATATCGGCGAAGGATAGTATAATTCCTGTATGTGCTTATCGATGATAATTATGTGTGTGAAGCCATGAGAGCGCAAATTTTCCTCATTCCAAGCTATGAAATTCTTTGTCAAGTATATTCCTGGCATCACATTATCCACAGCCAAATCGAGCGAAGAGAATACAGTGGCTGATGCGGTCGCTGTGGGGAACTGTGCTGATGTTTGTTCGCATTGCCGTTGCTGTGGATACGTTGTTGCATGCATTTCAAGTGATATTTGTTTTTGCTGTTGCAGTGTTATATTTAGGGGTTGCAAAGGTGGTGCTGCTGTAGGTAGCGTTTGTTGCATTATTTGCAGCGGCTGTTGGTGCGCTTGCAATGCTAAGTCTTGATGTTCTTGTTGCTGTTGTAGTGGCGGAGCGTTTACACTTGGACGGTGTTGATAAATATGGTCATCTAATGTAAGCGAGGCATTGTGTTCAGGCGAATAGGACATCGTGTCATAGCAGTTAAATTCAACAGAAGACATCACAGGATTCCCGGGCAAGGTCTAAAAAAAGGAATTGTTTAAATACATACAAAAGTATCAATATCTGATGGTTTCCACTTTAACCTAATTGTTGCACAATATCATTTCAATTAATACGTGCTGGTTGATTGTATTGACTCCAAAGTTGACACTCCGCCGATTTTTTTTGCGGTCACAACAATAAAAATATCACTTCCCACTTAAATTTATACGTTCTTTCTTTGGTTACAATTGTATAGCAAGGACCCAGTAAACTACAAAACGTCTGCTTATTTCCCCAAAAACGTAAAATTTCTCTACTAATTTAACATCAACAAATTTTAAGCGTTCTCTTCCAGTACTGCAAATCCGACGCAACATCTAAACGTCTTATCAACAAGCAACGTGCCAAGTACGACCATGCTGTGACCATACTGCTTTTAGCAGCCGCATGAACAAACCACATACATTCATGTATACGTACACACATTTTTCGCGCTAATTCACTGCATACAGAACTCAATATGTAATGCATAAACAACACTACAAACTTACCATGTCTTGTTTGCAGCAAACGATTTCGCTTTTAAACGATTTGTTTTGCAATTTCCAGCTTAATTTAGTACACCTTTTTATTGTATTGCCTTTTTTTATTTATTTTTTGACCACTCAAAGCGTTTCCCATACACGGCAAAAGAGGCGGCAAACGTGCGAAAACCTGAATTTTGGAGGGTTACTTGATTGTTGTTGTGATGTGTTGTTGTTCCTTGTTTTCACTACTTGAGCGCTTGTATCGGATTTTTCGTTTGACTCTTTAGCACAAATTTTACTGGCTAGCAAATGTTTACCCTGCAAATGTGCTTTTTCTATAGTTTTATTATACTTGGTTGGAAAAATTATTGCAAAAAATCCCCTTAAAAGCACACTACAACCGATTTTCCAGCATGTAGTAAAATTCACACACCACAAGAGAAGTGAAAATAGGAAAATGCACCTCCGACCGATAGCAACCTATAGGGCTCTGTCACACGGTCAGTATTTATTGACTTGATCCAAGAATCGCGATATTTATTGACGATGGAGCATGCAACATTGATGAATCGTGATACGGATCGGAAAATATTTAGAAATTTAAAAATCTGGATCACGGATGGAAATATTGGCAATAAATATCGCATTTTAAAAACGCGATCCACACATTTCGTTATAATGCTAACATCGAAAAAGTATGCGTTCTGCCTTCGCTCTCGGCGCTTAAAACCTGTCAAAACAAAGTAAAAGTATTTTAATTAACTTTGGAAATTTTAAAACAATTATGGAGCGTTATCTGTAGAATATACATACGTACAAAATACAAAAAAATTCTTGCGCCATATTAAATATTGAACGTGTAGTATTAGTCCGCCATCCATCAATCCATCAATATGCATCACGATCCAAATATCGTGATAAATACTGACCGTGTAACAGGGCCCATAATTTTTAGGGTGTTTTTAGGCAATACGGGCCTGTGCCAAACAGTAACTTTTTTCACGGTGGGACGGGTGAAAAATTTGCTATGGTATACAAATAAATTGAATTTTGCTGTGCCAAATGCAAAGATAAATTTTGACAGTTGAAAAACCAAACAAATGCTCGTGCGAAAGCTCTATTTTTGTGTGTTGCTCAAATTGTTAAAATTTATATTTATTTTATAACTTGCAATTTTCGTAGGCTTTTTTTGTGCTTTTGCAGCTTTCATTTTCATGTTCACTCTTTATTACTAGCCGTCTCCACTGGACAAAATTTATTGCAGTCCAACTGTCATCTTGGTTGCTAAATATACAGCCCAATTCTTAATACTCCCGGGGAGTTTGTTCTTCAAGAATTTGTTTCTCCCGAAAAAAAATCCTCCAATAATTAACTACCAGGGAGTAGAACTTTCCCCACTCCCAGGGAGTTTCTGTTCAGAATCGGCCTGATAAGTTATGTGTATCAGTGGCAATATTTGTGTGGGCTTTTTATATATTGATATAAGAATTGTAAGATGGCTTCTAGAACTTAGTTGTGCCTTATTTAATCGCTTAAAAAATTTAGAAAATATGCTTTTTTACATCCAAGTACATAATAACAAATATTTTAACAGAAAACTGCTCAATTTTTGCTTTTATATAAAAATATCAATAATGTTAAAAAAATGTAGCTGTCAAACTACCAAATTGCTGGCAATAGATGACAAGATATAAGCTCTACTATATATTGCTCTAATATATGTATCAAGATATAAATTGTATCCTGTGGAGACGGCCAGTTATAGCTGAAATACAATGGCTTTGTTTCTTTTCTTTTCTAGCAGATAATTATCAGGAAGAAGAAGAATGAGTTCTTCAATCGAGTTTGCAAAATCTTCATTAATTGAAATTAAATTATTTAGTATGTATTCAAAGAAAACAAACTCTAAAGAACCCCCGAAATTCAAACCACGGTTTTTTAGTAGACCATTTTAGTTTGCGCAATCAACGACATGAAACAACCCGGTTCGCAGCCATGATGCAATAATACAGGTGTTATCAGTTGGCAACTTCTCGCTCTAATTCCGCCATATTGACTGCCTTAGGTGAGACAGTGATACTTCTTTAACAATTCTTTGCCTATTAATATAGTTAAATATTTTTTTATTTTTTGTCAGTATACACACTTTTTTTTCTTAAGAAGGTATTTTAACTTATTTTATTTCATTTCATTACGAATATACTATAAAAAAGCAAATTTTGTTTAGGAAACAAATGTGAAATTTTATATTTTTGGGGCTTTATTTCTTCCCGTTTTTCTTTTCGTTCTACTGAGCTAAGGCAGTGTCAAATCGAGCTGTCACAATTGATACCATCTTGTATTATTGCATCATGGTTCGCAGCTAGCTTATTTCACCACTCAAAAAATCGGAAAAATATCGAATCGGAAGCTATCGACTAATCCAAACATCGTCGACTTGATCGATTAAAAAGCGGCATCTCTTTATCACTGGCATTCACGAAACATGGCTGATAAGCGAAAAAACAAAAAATCGGTATGAATTAATTGTAATTTTAGGGAAATAATGATAAAAGCATATATTTATCTATATTTTAATAGAAAGAAGAGATTGCGCGGGAATTCGACCTGCCCGAAAGAAAGTCGAAAATCGCTACTATAATGAAACAGGATGGCCAGGCATACTGTATATGTCGTACCTCGGACTGCTCGCGTTTCATGATGTAAGTTCCCAAATTATTTGGAAGAATGTCATCTTATCTTACCTATATCCTACAGCGGCTGTGATGGTTGTGAGGAGTGGTACCATGGCGACTGCATCAATATCACTGAGAAAGAGGCCAAACACATTAGGCACTATTACTGCCAACGCTGCAAAGAGGAAGATCCCAGTTTGCAAACTGTGTTCCGTGTGGTGCCAGTCGAAAAGACTGCGGCGCCAATTGGCGCTGCTGGTGTTAATGACACGGATAAACGGAAAAAATTAAAGGACCAAGTACCACCGAACATTATTGGATCTGCAGCAGTGGTTGGGAATAAACAAATGATAAATTACTGCGGTAACTGTGACGGCTGTCGGGCGCCAAGCTGTGGAATATGTGAGTCATGTCGCGTACGTGGAAATGGTCAGAAACCAAGATGTGAAATGCACGTATGTCAGGCACCACCGATGCAAGCATCACAGCAACAACTAGTACAACCACAAATACAACAAACAAATCCACCTTCAACATCCGCACAGACGGCCAGTCGTCATAAACGTAAAGAAAAGCAACCAAAAGAGAGGATGAGAAAACGGAAACGTTCGTTAAGCCCGGAAGTTTTCATGAATCCAGAATTGGAGGGTATACGACAATGCTATGGACCACGTTGTAAACATAATGCAAGGCCACAATCAAAATACTGTAGCCATGAGTGCGGCATTAATTTGGCAACTAATCGCATTTTTCAAGTAAGATTGCTTGACAAATTGTATTTGCTTTTGGTCCATGATTCAATAATAGTATTATTGAATCATGCTTTTGGTCTATACAATTTCAAATATATTTGAATTTTTAGGTTCTGCCGCAACGTGTTCAAGAATGGAATCTATCTAGCTGCCGTGCAGAAGAAGAGAACAAAAAGCAATTAGATCAAATACGTTCTAAACAAGCTGTGGTACGTTTTGCGTTGGCGGAACTGGACAAACGCCATATGGAGTTGGATATGATTGTAGAACGTGCCAAACATAGCACGCTGGATCAGAATCGCTCACAAGATAATAATGACATCGAAGATGAGCAATCGATGTACTGTATCACATGTGGCCATGAGATCCATTCACGAACAGCGATTAAACACATGGAAAAATGTTTTAATAAATACGAATCGCAAGCCTCTTTCGGCAGCATTTTCAAGACACGTATCGAAGGCAATTCAATGTTTTGCGATTTTTATAATCCGGCTAGTAAAACATACTGTAAACGTTTGCGCGTGCTTTGTCCCGAGCATTGTAAGGATCCGAAAATAAGTGACAATGATGTATGCGGTTGCCCGTTGGTGGCAAATGTCTTCAAGCCAACTGGAGAGTTTTGTCGCGCACCAAAAAAGAGCTGTTTCAAGCACTACGTTTGGGAGAAGATACGACGCGCCGAAATTGACTTGGAGCGTGTACGTCAGTGGCTGAAAATGGATGAGCTGCTTGAACAGGAAAGGCACATACGCCATCTTATGGCCTCACGCGCGGGCGTATTAGGCCTTATGCTGCATTCCACCTATAATCACGAAGTAATGGAGGAACTTTGTCGGCAGCAATACTTCAGTAATGCAGCTTCAACATCAGGGGACATGGTAATTAATAGTTAAGTTTATTTATAAAAAGAGAGCGAAAATAATGAAAATATTATGCAAGAGTATTTTAATCGTATAGCTGTAAGAAAAACAAGCAAGTAAATAACAACGAATGGAAAGCAATTGTATTTTGTTTACCCAATGCAAACGGATTTTTAGCTTACTTTCGCACTTGAAATACTCAGTAGTGTAGTTTATAATGCTTTTAATAATCACATTTATTTTATACAAAATATATATACACGGTGTAAGAAAACATAGCTTCGTGGGAGGCTATGTAAGAAAATTATGTAACTGCTGCATTTTTTATATAAGTATGTATGTATATATGTATGTATTTTATGAAAACGCTTCATGTCAATTTTGTTATAGCGAAGTAAGTTATTAACTTTTATAACCCATCACATATGGCAAGCGTTCCATTTGCCTCCATAAATTTGTACTCACCGCTTCGAAGCAACGTGTCGCATCTATGTAGATTGTCTCGTGGCGACGTGCAAGATATTCATTTACCGTAGCTTCATTGCGCGAGAAATATCTCATCTATTACATCGTAGAAAACAGAAAAATTAATTTTAATGCCAAGACTATTTTCATCGAGAGTATTATAGCTAAAAGGTAAGAGTTCTCCTAAATACTTCGAACTCTTACCTCATGTTCTATATATTTGCATGTATTTTGTGGGCATCCCAGATCTGGCTTTGTCACTAAGCGTCGCAGTGCCATTAATTCGGGACACTGCAAGTACACAAGTTTATTGGGTGGAATTTTGAATTTTTCAAACATTTCTGTGAATTCCTCAACATTATGGGGATAATTGATCAATACCCAACCCTGACGCAAGGCATCCATTTGTGCCAAGCGCCTTTTTATGATCTCAGCTACGACCATCGATTTATCCTTTGTCACATTGTCGGCGAATGCTTTATGCAACAATCTTGACAAGCCGTCGTTGAGAAAGAAAGTTGCATGGATTAGTTGGTCAGCGTCAACTACGAAAATTTCGTATGTTGACAATTCAATCTATTTTTTTTCTCAAAAATATGACTTACTATAAACTAAATTGAAACGTTTTGTCATAGCCAATGCCTGAGTTTTCCGACCAGAACCGCTGCGGCCAAATACGACTATGCGATGATGGAAGCGGCGTGGTAGTTGGTAGTAATCTGCAATAAGTATTTTTTTCAAATAATTTTGACTAGACCAGATAAATATATACATAGCTTGAGGTCAATGTTGTTGAACAGTAGAGCTTCTGGAGAATGTTGCAGAGATGACTTATTTCATATTTACCTATATTGCTGTTCGTATAGCTTGCTTTTAGGCACATATGATAAAACTCGTCGGCAATGCGTCGTATATTTTTGGCTATCCAATGCTGTGGGTTGGTAGGTCGTATAAGGCCAATTTCGGCCATCAAGCGCTTCGTAAAAACGTTTTTTTTTTCAGCTTATCTCAATAATTCTACATCGTATGCTTTCTTACCGTTATAATTTCAATTATTTTATGTTTCTCGAAATAAACCATTAATTCGGCAGAATACTCAGCCATTGCCAATTTTTGTATGGGAAAATACATGCCTTTGTATTTAAACGGTAATATCTAATAGTAGCATCAAATTATAAGGATATTTTTTAATATCACCCGAAAAAAGTAAACAATAAATTTGTGTGACAATGAAAAAATATGTCTAAAAATGATTGCAAAAGTGGAACATTTATGTTTCAATACAAGTCTTATTTAACAAAACTAGATTTTACTTAAAGTTTTATGTGGCACCGGCACCAAACATTTTTATGTAAAGGAGGAGGTTATGTTACGAGCCAAATTTCTTAACCGTTTTAAAATGTATACCTACGGCGGCCATATTTATGGAGGGCCGAATACGGGACAAAAAAATTGGTGTTATCAGTTTTTATATATCTCTTTTTAGTTTCCGAGATATTGGCTACAATTTTTTCGATAATTTAGTAAAAATTTAGTTAGTAATGCAGTCATATTAACTAATCAATATTTTTGAAATGGTGTTCTCCATTTTTGTATATCTCCTTTAGTTTCCGAGATATTGAGTAAAAAGTGTCGTTAATTTATTAGAAATTTTGATAACATTTTGTCGTATTTCATACAAACTGGCTGCCAAATTGTGAACAAATGACGCTTACGACAAAATTTTACTAAAGAAAATCCTTCATAAACTCAAAACTAATTAACAATAAACATTAAAATTTAAAAATTAAATAATTTAAGAGTTTTGTGAACTAGTAACATTTTCAGAGACTTTGGAGAAAATCTATTTTCGCGTTTTTGAGAAATTGTATACCAAACTTCAATCGCAATTTCCCACAACTTACCGAAATTAACATACGACAATCTTTTATCCAGGCGACGATTTCTGTACGTGTTGACTCGCCTTCGATTACACACAATTGAATCATTCAGAGTCATGCCAGGAGTCATGTAGGTGTAACTAACACATATTTATTTTCCCAAGCACATCCAAACGAGTCAGACGCACCGTTGTTGTTGTTGTAGCAGCATACAAATTCACCAAAGACTTTTTGGGGAGTGTTGTTGGAGTGACAGTCCTTGGCCAGATATAAATCTGGGTCGTTCCGGTTACGTAAAGCCGACTGTCGTGGGAACGCAGACGCACCGTGTATGCTGCCTATTAAAGTAACTTCTCAAACTTATAGCATATTTTTTTCGAAATTTTTATCCCACAAAATTTGTTACAAAAAAGTAGCTAGGATTTACCGTTAATTTTCGGATTTTTTTTTCTGACGGTGTTACGCATTTTTTTCGTACAAAGTATAATATGTTCTATAAGGTTTTTAAAAGAGAAGCAAATGAGCAGCAAACTTGCACGTGCACTTTTATTATATTAAATTATAACGAGCTACAAAACTTCAAACCAATTTTTTTTTCTAAAGATTCTGATTGAAAAGTTTATATATTTATATGGTTTTTGTTAGGAAAAGAGCTTTGCTTCCAAAAAAAAAAATAATAATATAATAAACATAAAATAAACAAAAGAAAAATAGCCACACGTTGCTAAAATGTCGAGTAAAAATTTATATTTTGATCACTGTATTCTCTATTCGAATCATAGGCATTCAGATTAGAAACTAATAACTGATTACGGAGAAAATTACGATCATATACCAATAGCATAGGCATGTCGTTAATGGGCTGTTAAGGCGTCAAAATGCCGAACACTGAATATGGGACAAATACAGGACATTTACAGGCCTATTCTGCTTGTAACCGAACATTTTGTAACAAGCAATTTGATTTACCTTGGTAACGTTTTAATTTATTCAGCAATTCAGCTATGGAGTTGTGTTGAAATTCGGGTGTTGCATATTTCACGGGGCAATATTTTGTTACCTGCTCATGAGATGGTAACAAAATTTACCGGTTACAAGAGTGTGGAGAATACGCAAAGGGTTTAAAAATTGAAAGTAACTTTACTAACCGGTAACAAAATTTTTGTTACCAACGCAGAATAGGCCTGCAAAAGGAATACAGAACATTCGGCGTCCCGTATAAATTAAAGAAATTACCACAGCAATTGGTTAAAAACAGAGGACAGGACGGATGGTCACCGCATGTATACCCATAGTGCAATATTCACACCCTGTGTTAAAATTCTTTTGTAATACCAGCCTTAGGCTGTGTTTTTGTTTACTGATAAGAGAACGTAAACGCTCTACTGGCACAAAATTATCGAAAATATTTAATTTAAGTGTGTTGCGAAATAAGAAATATTTGTTTATAATGGCATTGATACCACCTGTAACGCGCCTCACTTCATCCGTTATACGCATATTGGGGTGCAACCCAGGGCCAATGACATTGCAAGGCACGAATACTTATCTACTGGGCACCGGCAAAAGGTAGGGGAACACAAGTCAAAATTCATCAGAGATATGCTATGTATATGAAATTTCCCTTTTTCTCCCAAGCCGCATTTTGATAGACACAGGTGATATGGATGTCCCAGAGTACATTAAACATTTGCAAGGAGTTTTGAAGCAGGAGCAGGCGTCTTTGAGCACAATTATACTTACTCATTGGCATCACGATCATGTGGGTGGCGTAAAGGATGTACTGAAGACGTGTGCAGTTGGCGGTATGATTTAAACCAAGTATGCCCAGCGCAGGGAACTTGCCTATAGAATTCTGCCAGCGCAGGGCACTTGCCTATAGAATTCTGCCAGCGCAGGGCACTCGCCTATAGAATTCTGCCAGCGCAGGGCACTTGCTTATGGAGTTCTACCGGCGTTGAGCATTCCTGATTTAAACAATTTCATATTTGCGCCAATTTAGTTTCTATTTACATATCCTCAGATTGTCGTGTTTACAAATTTCCGCGCACCGATGCGGTAGATGTGTGCCCAGAGATTCCCGCTGACATTAAGGTACATCCTTTGCATGATGAACAGAAATTAAGTGTAGATGGCGCGAACGTAAAAATAGTACATACCCCTGGACATACAACAGATCATGTTGTTTTGACCACAGACGACGGTATACTCTTTAGTGGCGATTGTATTTTGGGTAAGTTTTTATTAAAGAATGAACTATAGTGTGAGCTATTTTTACCTTGAACTACTCCAGGCGAAGGTACTGCTGTGTTCGAGGAATTATATGAATACATGAAAAGTTTGCATAAAATATTGGACATGAAGCCCGCAGTTATTTATCCAGGACATGGTAATATTATTGAGGTAAACAAATTGAATATAAATGGAATGTTTTTTCTATAATTATTGGTGTGTTAATACTATAAAATATTTTTAAAGCAACCTGTTGACAAAATTCAATATTACATCGACCATCGCAACCAGCGTGAAGACCAAATAATGGATTTCTTTAGTCGTAATTCTAATAAACCTCTACAAGCTATGGATGTGGTTCATGATGTATACAAAGAAACTCCAGAGCAATTGTGGCCAGCTGCTGCTTACAATGTTGGACATCATCTAGAGAAATTACAGCGTGAGGGAAAACTAAAGTTCATAGCTCAAAACGATGAAAAATACTACGAATTTCAAAAAATCAGCACTTTGTAGTATAACGTATACGTTGCAAAATAAGACATCAGTATAATATGGAAAGCCCCTCTTGTTTTTTATAAATCTTATAAGGTTTATATATATTTTATATGAAGAATTTAACTTTAGTGTTAAAATACATTTTTAGTTGAAACATTTTTGCTCACTTAACTAGTTTCTGGCTGGAAGGTAATAGTGTCATCTTTAAAATTGTGCACATCATCATACCATATATCATCCGATGAGCCGGTTAACGCTGCAAGCTCGTCTTCGAATGTTGTGGGGAAAGGTGGTGCGTTTTTATGTTTTCGCAGTGGCAATATAGTATCATAAATGTATACAAGGCCATTGGTTGGGCCAGGTATGGCGCTGCCTTGCACCCACATCACATTATATTTGGTGTTGATGCGCCATATACGCATACCTTTCGCAATACGCCAGCGGTTGCCCATATGTCCAGGCATTTTGGTACCCGGCCAAACGCGGCCCTTCTCTCCACCACCACCAATATTACCAGGACGTCGATGTGTTTTCGTAACACCGTGCGAGGCGGGCATGCCCTTAAAACCGTGACGCTTTACTACGCCTTGGAAGCCGTGGTCCACGCTATGTGTAGTAGATTAAATGGTTTATTTGTACATTTTAATTGAAAATAAAGTCGTATGTAATTTATAACTCACGTTTTGCCTCGTACATCTACAAAATCACCGACCCTGAAATGCGCTACATTCAGCGGCGTGCCCGTTGGTATTTTTGCCTCTGGAGAAATTATAAATCGCGCCAGATTACGCTTTGGCATCACACCCGAGTCACGAAAAAGTCCACAATACTCTTTGGTTAGGGTTGAGGGATCGACTGATTCGGCACCCACCAGTAAACAGCCATATTTATTAAGATTGGCCACCTTGGGCCTTTGCGCTGGCTGATATTCGTGAGGAGGTATATAACGTATGACATGGTTGTCCACGACCTGCAGCAAGGTAGTACGGATACGCTCGCCACTTTTTAACCAAAGTGGATATTGACCAATTTTTCGCGCTATAAGGCCACTGCGTCGTGCTTTCTCGTGCCATGGTTGTCGCTCAAATTGTTCTGTTTTAATCAAAGTCGATTGATCGTAGGAAGATACACCTTTTATGAGCGCTGGGGGACCATATTTATCTTTTATAACTTCTTTCAGAAAAGACTTGTTTTCACCGCTTATTGTTGTGTCGCGAGCCTATTTAAAAATCGACGTAGATACATAATTTAATGGCATCTAAAAGTTTACACATTAGATATACTTACCAATCTTTCTTTCCGTACAAACCAGTAAGGGTTCCTCAGGCGAGGTCTTGTTAAATGTCCTTTTTCACGCACTTGTGTAACCGCCACTGGACTCAGCCTATAGTGGTCCGGGGATAGAAATTTGAGGTTAGATTTATGAAGTACATTTTTATATAGTTAAAAACTTTATAATTACATCAAACTTACCTCAATTTGTTTAAATCAATTATAAGCGTGCGCAACATTTTGTTTATAATAAATTACGCTGAATTAAAGTAAGTTTCTATTCATCTAGCAATGTTTTTCTTTTGGAGCAGATGAGCGAGTCCACAATCACGGTTGCCACCTCTTAAAAAAATAACTAACTGAAAAAAACAACCAAATTGAAAAAAAATCTTATCCACTTATCTATTATTGTCTATTACAAAAAGCAAAACTTATTACAAAAAAAAAAAACAAAGATTCAACAATTTTATAGAGCTCGAGGCCTTTTTTTAATGAAAATCTTGTGGAAAAACAACATTAATTTACATTTCGGTACAAATTATAGTAACTTGCTGTCTCCACAGGCAAAAGTTTTTATCTTGATAATGTTATCAGGCAAAATTTTGCCCATGGAGACCGTATATTGCTCTTGGCAAGCAATAATTATCAGAGCTTTTATCTTGATAAATATTGCTAATTTATTTTAAGCATTAAATTTAATTCAAATGTATACACGTGAATGTATATAGGTCTAATGACTGTAATAAATAAATAAATAAAAATAACGCCCGTGCTTGCTACAATGAACACTTAGCAGCAAATACTTTGCTCATTAAATTAATATACTAGCAAATTAGAAAAAATAAAAGAAAAACAAATAAAGGAAAAAGCATCAAGTTTGGTTGGGAACAAAGAAGAGTGGCAACCGTGTCCCAATCATTACAAAAGTTGCCAGCCTTTTTTTACATGATCCAGAGTAAAAGCAAATACAATTGAGGTGCGATTTTAGATAAAAAAAATTGTAATATCAATTGCTGAGCTTTTAAATAAATTTCAGTTTTCTTAACCTACTTAATTACAGATTTTATAAAAACAGATTACAATTAGAAACATCGATTGTACACATTCCAACACTGTGTGGTATTTTGTCAGCCACTGAACACCCATGCGCATTGTTTTTGTAGCGAATCACTTGCCAAATTTTGACATTAGTTCGGTTGAAGGAGGAGCAGCTGTAGAATTTTTTATTTTTTACTTGGGGAAAAATATATAATTTCAGTTATTAGTTAAGAAATATAGAATATAGCTAAAGAATCGTACAATTTGTAGCGTCCACAAAATTTTATATATTTTGTGCAAACATAGAAAACGTAACGTGCAATGGCCGGAATGAATAATTATTCAACATTGATGTGAGCCAACCAGAATATAAATTTTGTTTCGCAATGGATTGCAGAAGTCACAATTTTAGCTAACGTTCTTCCGTTTGCAGGTACGCGACAAACCAAAAAAATGAGGACGATGACAGTGATGAGCCCGGACATCAAACGCGACTACGTAATATTTATAGTGCAGGTCAGGTGCAGGGATCAATGATGGCCACATCAAACGTTACAACTAGTGCTAGTAGTCATGTGCCACCAAACACATTAAATTTACAACGTTCACACATACAGTAAGTGGTTATTGTTTCCTAAAAAAAAAATTGGTAAAAATTAAATATTCCATTTTAAGTTTACCGGTACAAGATGACCGCCATACACAAGCCTATCTCGACAGTTTGGCCGGTTCCGCACATGACGTGACGGCAGGCGGTTTAATAGGAATGAAGTATGTCAACTCAGAGCGTGATCTCTCATTACCATTAGAAAAGCATAAAGCGCTCGAAAACTACTATGACAGTCAAGAGGATGGTGAGCTCTAACTTATAAAGATAAGCTAAATGTTTGTATTAGTTCGTACCCACCATTGATGTTCATTTTCAGTTTTGTTTTGCTAGTTTAAACTTGTTTCTGGTTTTAAATATTTATTGTTTGTTTACGTTCTAATTTGCTGTTAAGCAAGACCCACATTCTACAGAGGCTTTGTCGCTGATGGCGGCTATAAAGATGAAGCAGGTGTTACACGTACGTAGAATTTTGCTAGGCATTTGTTTATGGGTTGTGTGTGCGAGAAATTATAAGAATTGAACTAAACGCATGTAAAATCAACTTTTCTGTACACTTGCCTGACAAAACAACGTAAAGAGCTCTTCTCCTTACGCATTCCCACTTTTTTATTGGATAATAACAATGTATATAAAGTTGAATTTTAACCACCGTAAATCTATTTTTTTATAGAGATTTCCATTCGGAAGTATCTCGGCATAGGTGTTCAATGGGTCAGCTTGGTTACCGAAAATCTGCTCAGTCACCCTTTTATCGTATTGCGCAGACAATGCCAAGTTTACAATGCTTCCAAACGGTATAGTAAAAAAAAATAAAAAAATTAATCAATGGTTATAATTTTTATGTATACTCGTAGTTATCATCTGCATCCATTTTCACTCGTGCCCAGCATTATACACCTGCATCGGCGGCAAGGTGTCACTACGCTGTGGAAGGGCCTAGGCAGTTGTTTGCTAGTGCGTGGAATGTCGTTGGCTGTGGATGATGTTGTATCAAAAATTACCCAGTGGCCGAAGTAAGCGATTTGTTTGTTTTGTGAAATGTTGCAAAATATACCAATGTGTTGAGTTTGTAGTATTACTTTTGTAATTTAAAACAAATGTTTTAGGCTACACCTTTTAACATGTTATTTATTTGTCAGGGAAGTGGACAGCCGGACATCACTTAAACGATTTGGTCAACATTTAATTTTGAAATGGTTTGTAGTTTTCAATGAGAATGTAAAAGTGTTACACTTATAACTTTTTCTTAAACTTGCTTCAGCGTGAGCATTGCCATTGTGATGCCCTTTTATTCCGCTTCTTTAGTGGAGACGGTACAAAGTGATATAGCTAGCGAGAAACCCGGACTCTTTGATGTCTTCCGGGAAGGCAGTTTACGCTTGCTGTATTGGAGCTCACCACAAAAAGGGCGTATGTTGCCTGCGTGGGCTTTGATAGGCCCTTGCATGTCCGTGGGCATTACCAAATATCTGTTTGGGTAAAATAAAATACAATACACAATTAAAAAATATCTCATTTCGTATACATCTCCTTTAGACTTGTTATTAAGGGTATTTCATCGCGTATAATGCGTCGACGCATTCAACAAGCCCAAGAACGTAAAGGTGCAAAATATAAGGATGACTCCTTGGAGAATCAAAATGTTGAAATTTACTCGAATCTTATTTCAATGCTAACAACAGAAATTATATTCTATCCCTTTGAAACGATTTTGCATCGTATTCAATTACAAGGAACACGCACTATTATTGATAATCTGGATAATGGCTACGCTGTTGTGCCTATACTAACCAATTACCAGGGCGCTATCGATTGTTATCGCACCACTGTGGCAACAGAAGGGTTTTCGGGTCTCTACAAGGGATTTGGCGCCATTGTTTTGCAATTTGCTGCTCATATTGCCGTTATAAAGCTTACAAAATGGGTAGTTACACAGATAACAGAAGTGGTTTCCAGTCGGCCACCACAAAAGGTGATGCAATATTATAATTTGGATCGTGGGCTCGCCTCGAATTCAACCACAATTTCACCTAGTCTTAGTTCCAATAGCGAGTTGGACGTGCAAAGCTTGGGAAATCACTCAGTGGATTAAATTATTTTGATGTGATTGAAACTTAACGACTTCTGCGTACTCATACGTATTCACGGAAAAAATCATGATATGTGTTATATATATATACATAAAATAGATAAAAACTGCTTTCTAGTTACAAGCAAAAATTACACAAAATTTAATAATAATATTGTATTTAAACGATAGAAGTAGCTAAATTGCATGATTATGTTATGCAGCATTAATTAGAACGATAAATAATGTAAATTTTGTTAATTTTAAATTAAAATCGACACATATAAAATAATAGCGCGATGAGTTTTCATCTTTTTTGAAAAGTTAAATTCACCTTAATAGTTTGTTATAATTTCGACACCATGCGCGTACGGCTTAAGGACTGGTGAAAATTTTTAGACAACGTTAAAGCTGAAATTAAAGCGCAGTTAGTAAACGACGTAGCGTAAACGTAGGTTGACGTACGTAGCAGCATATCAAACTTACTGTTGATTGAGAGAGATAGAAGCAACGGCAACGTCACCGCCATGCGGTGGTGAGTTTTCGGTTACACGCGAATCCCATAAGGTAGATCGTGTCTGCGTTAACCTACGTCTACGTTACGTCGTTGACTGTTTGAGCTTTTAATCAAGAATGCAGGACGTATACTTAAACGCAGTCTGTATACGCAGAATTTTGTCGATTACTGGAGCCCTCAGTGTTGCTTGCTACAGTGTTACCGCTCATCAATGCCTTTTCATAAACTTACCTGGTCAACTACAATTTTTCACGCTATAATAGATCGTAGCTAAATATAAACTACTTAGTTTTCAACAAAAAACCTTATTCAATAGTAAACTTCAAATATTTTAAACGTATTTTGAATAGGAAGTTATAACTTTTTACCATCTGCAAAACTGACGAAGTGGCAACCATCTATAGAAGGAAGAAATCAGCTGACACGGAAAATTCTAACCGGCCGTCTTCACGTGCTGGCAAATCTCGCTTGCGTGACGACGTATGCGAGAAACCGCACGTGTAGACCGCAAAAAGTACAAAGCATGCTGNTGGCAACCATCTATAGAAGGAAGAAATCAGCTGACACGGAAAATTCTAACCGGCCGTCTTCACGTGCTGGCAAATCTCGCTTGCGTGACGACGTATGCGAGAAACCGCACGTGTAGACCGCAAAAAGTACAAAGCATGCTGTTTCTCGCATACCGAGCGGTATGCGAGCTCTCGCTTGCTTTCAACTGTCATTTTTGTTGTTTGACAGCTATGTTCTCATTTCGCAGAATTCTTCAGAGGAGCAACATCGTTTATTTTGGAGGCAAATTCAAATTTAGAGTCAGCCATTTTTCATTTGAAAATAGTATACATCTCTTTATGCAGATTTTCTAATTTTCTCAAACTTTTAATAGTCTGCAAGGCCTGAACCTTCTTGTTTGGCGACATTTTACAAATGAATAAGTATGCTGTCAAATGCCCAGTCAACAAAACTCTATCTCGCTTGCGAGAGAAAAAATCAGAACGCAAGCGAGATTTTCAAGCATGTGAAGACGGCCGGTAATGTACATTTATTAATTATACCATANAATAGTATACATCTCTTTATGCAGATTTTCTAATTTTCTCAAACTTTTAATAGTCTGCAAGGCCTGAACCTTCTTGTTTGGCGACATTTTACAAATGAATAAGTATGCTGTCAAATGCCCAGTCAACAAAACTCTATCTCGCTTGCGAGAGAAAAAATCAGAACGCAAGCGAGATTTTCAAGCATGTGAAGACGGCCGGTAATGTACATTTATTAATTATACCATATTCTGGCCGACATCGAAAACATGTTTTCGTTGCTAAAACTGGTTTTCGACTTAAAACTTGTGTTTTCGTCCATGTAAAATCTGTCAAACGAAAACCAGTTTTCGCTGAAAACTACTCACGTTCCACTCGTTCCAATCAGTGTCTTCACTAGTTTTTTTTCGATTATTTATCGAAGTGGAAGTCATATTTTATCAACTTTAATACGCCATTTCGGATTTATTGTTAATTTGCTGGCAAAAGTAAAATAAGAATGAAAGTAAGAGGTTGCTAATGAAAAGAAAATGATGGAAAAGCATTTTGATTTTGTTTTTGTGTAGCAAAACTGTAATCAGAGGTTGTAAGAAATGTCAACGACAACACTGACAGCCGATGTGAACAGCCTTCAGCCCAAAATCCCAAAACACGTTTTCTAAGTGTTTTCGTTGTCGGTCAGAACATGGTATTAACAGAATTAGAGCAGAAGGAAACCCAGGTTTGCAACAGAAATATATGCCCGTTCCATTATTTCTTGAGAAAAGAGAGAGGCAACAGGCTGTGAAGTATCAAAAATGTCAAAATTCCTTTTACACACACACGAAATAATGGCAATTTTTTCTTGGCCGTTTTCTTGAGAGCTGCATACAGGGCTTAATCCAGATTTAACGAATCGATCACTGTATTTTTCAACCATCAAAAATAATTCGTGTTACATGCTGTTTTCTTCTAAATCTTTGAAAGTAAAAAAACATACGGCCACCTTTGGCATGTACTGACGCCATCGCCCAGCAGAGCGATAGAAATAAATCTATCGCAACGAAACGCCGCCGAGCGAACTTCGCATTGCGCTTTGGCTGTGTTCAATTCCATTTGCTGGCGGGTGTTCTAATTTTGACAGCGGTAATTTCGCAGTGGTGAGTTCGCCGTTGGCCGGCATTGTGTTTCTATGGTGAGGCGGCTGAAGTCGATTCCAAAAAGTCGAACTTTTTCAGCGAAAAGTCGACTTTGAATAAAGTCAGAGTCGACTTTTCCATTTCTAATTCGGGTTCTTACCTTGATTTACATATACATTTCGCGCATTTTAATTATTGCTGATTAGCGTGCATATAAATACGTTTATAGCGTGTGAAATAGGAGCGCTTTTAAATTCTCATTTTCGTTTCGCTTTTAATATTCATTTCGGAAGCGGGAGTAAATTACTTCTACAAGAAGTTAACATAAACAGCTCTCAGTTAAAACTATAAAAACACATTTAAAATGAAGACTACTGCTTCCGGTAATTGTTAAAGTATATTTTCAAAATTATATAAATAAATATTTGCTAATATTTTTGTATACAGACAATGAGGAACCTTCCGCTGGCAGTTCGAATCGACTCACTGCTGCTGAGATCAAAAGTATGTGGAATTTAGGGAAAGTGATGAAAAATTTAGGTAGATCAGACCAATGTGTGAAATTCGCTGAAGACCATCATCTCATCAAGCGGTCAAGATTGTGTAGCGGTCATCGGTCTCCAATGACTCTATCGAAGGGCGGGCATAGTGTTCTGGGTGCTTTCGAATGCCACAAAAGGACGTGTCGTGGCAAGAGAATTTCAAGAGCTAAAGGGACCTGGTTTGAAAATGCGAAGATTTCTTTACCACATATATTTTATCTTATGTATTGTTATGCTCATCACTGGCCACAAGAAATGGTGCGATTGGAGAATTTCATAGAAGGGCCGAACTTTTCCACTAGAACAATTACAGATTGGTACAACTTTTGCCGTGAAGTAGTTGTTTCCTACCAGATCGAAAAGCAAGATGCTGTGGACAAAATTGGCGGTGTGGGCAAGAAAGTACAAATTGATGAAATCAAATTTGGCAAACGCAAGCCTAGCAAGTGTAAGTAGTACTTACATCTACATACATCTAGAACAGTTTTAACCTTGATAAAAATATAGGAAGGTAGAACCGCTGAGAGGAATTTTTCAAATTCTTGACGTTTGCAAGCAATTTAATTTTAAAATTTTACACACAAACTCACACACACAATCTCATTTTCAATCTCAAACAACAAAAACTTTGAACAATAGGTTCATTCCTTATCTTTTTGGACTAAAATCTGAAAAGTGTCAAAAGGCCAGAGCGTAAGCAAAATGCGCTCACTAAAAGAGAATACCAGGAAAAAGTAAAGGAACGCAAAAAACCAAATTTTTAGTCCAAAGAATGGCAACAACCAAACTAATGTCAAATAACAATAGAAATGTATGTACAAAACACATACACCCAAGCACAAGGACAATAAACACTTACTATATCAATTATTTTTTGCCTCCTTCCAATTTCAATTAACTTTTTTTTACTTTTTAGATTATTCTCACGTTTTGCGTATTCTTTAATTTCCGTTAATTTAAATTCACTTGGGTTTGACACTTTTCAGGATTTTGCCAGAAAAAATTCTTCTGACTAAATCTGACTACTTCGGACTGATGAGAGTCACTCTCACTGACTGTTGCTCTCTCATTTTTGCTGTCATTTCCGAGTTAAGGAACGCTTTTTGGACTAAATCTGACTACTTCGGACTTTTTCTGACTATTTCTGGGAGATAAGGAACGCTCCTAATTTATTCTTTTTACTCTCAATAGTTGCGTTTGATAACAAAATTAGCCAACACCAGCCAACAATCAAAATGAAGAGAGTAAGCGAAAATTCTCTCCCAAAGAGAAGAAAATGCCAAAAAGGAAACGAACAGGAAATTAGCCATCACTTGCAAAAACCGGAAGAAGAAGACACACCAGCTGACTTTGTTTATGTTTTATTTGTAAACAAACTGAAATTCATGTTGCCTCCATGGATGTCCTTTTTTCACGTTTTTTTTGAACGTTCAATGTTCGCCAGGAACATTTCTAGAAGTAAAAACTAATTGGCGCTATCATAAAGTCACATAGCAGGCGGCCAGAAAGCATATAAATACCAAAACTCGAAAAATGCAATTTTGTTTGTTTACAAAAATTGCAACCATATGTTTTGTGATCATATGTTTTCGTGTTGGATAATTTATGCTGAGTAAAATTTTGCCAGTATAAAATGAACGCTCCTCTTGCATCAAAATGAACGCTTGCTCTCTCAATTTGTGTGTGTTGGATAATTTTTTGTCGTTATCGAACGCCATCCAGTAAAAATTTGGAAAAACTATTACAAATTTTTGACATGTCGAACGCACCTAATTTTATATGATTTTAAAATGCGGGCAAACTTCAAAAAAAAATCATGGCCGACGAATTGAGAGAACGGTTTCACCTTACTATGTTTTTATCATGGTTTTAACTTGAAGTGTATTTACTGCCGATCGACGGTAATTTCTGAAGTATGTACATAGATCTACTGCAAGTTTATGACCGGAAACTACCGGAGTTTTTGCAGAAATCGACCCTTTTTGCTATCTAGATATTTTTTTTTGAGCATGTATTATAATTTTAAGGAATGCATTTATTGTGAATAATCTATTAAAAAACTGTTTTATTGCAACGTTTTC